TTGGTGCTGTTCCCAACTTTCTCCCGACAAATACTGGGATATTAACTTAAAACAGCAGCAAACTCGCCTATTTCCACATCTCTCCCAATTTACTGCTACTCCTATTCAAATATATATAAAAATCATCGTTAAATAGACATCAGAAGATACATAATCAGTTGATATAGGTGAATTAACAGTCAGGTTTGACAAGTGAGCATAATCGTATACTTATTATGGACCCCACGGCACATCACAAAGGCCACACACTAATACACTTCCGTAAACAAATAGCGAAGGCATTTCAAGGTTATGTATGATAAGTTTTTATCCTGTGTACGAGACATCCACGCTAAGAATGTGTTCAAAGTAGTACAGACGTTTCTCCCATCACTAAAATGACAATCAGAGCGATGTTGATGAAAGAAGCAAGCGGAAACCAAAGGTAGTTCAACTTCACGGACATGCAATTTATAAAATAACGTAAAAACTCCATTTTTCAATTGAACATGAACGCATACCATCTGCGGAGGCAGCTACAGGTGGAGTATTTATATATAAAATTACAGTTTTTACAAAAATAAATTAATATAACTGCACACAGAAATTGATCAGCTAGTCAAGAAAATAAATTTTAAACGGAAAAAGTTACAAGGAAGTCTATTCAGAGATCTAGGCGTAGATGAGAAGAATAAATAATCGAAATGGAACTAAAATAATAGCAGGGAGGGTTTAGACTGGATTCATATGGCTCAGAATATGGCCCATTGGAGGGCTCTTGTGAACGCGGTAATAAACCTTAGTGTTCCATAGAAAACTGGGAATGTCTTAGCGAAATTGAGTAGCTAAACGACCATTGTCTTCTCGAAAACGTCTCTGCTCCTCAGAGTTAGATGGTCAACACGTGTTCGGATATTTACGCCAACACGTTCAGTTTACTCTTTTCCAACTGGCCTCCGTTGGAGACAAACTGTCAACATTATTTGTCCTGCTATACTGGCTTTCTGCATTGACCTCCGCTGTTCCTATTTTTTATTTGCGAAAACCACAGTGGCGGTTGCATATCATAAACACCTGTACCTGAGCCAACTACAAGCAAGACCGAGAAGATGTAAGTTAAAAAAACAAAAAGGAAATACAATGTACTTGTGGCAATGACCGTGTTGTTGCCTGCAGCAACACTCGGGAAACGAAAGGAAAATCTTGCTGGCTGTGAGGTGATGGTCAAGACGGGTCGCTTCAGTTCACAGCAGCTATTTCAAAACGGGGGTCTGGACACACCGAAGACCATGGAGAGCAGGCTGAATTATTAGACTGTAGAATCTCACTTAGAGTCCCCCGGCTCTCATTAGACAACAGGCAGGGAGGGCTCCATATCCCAGAATGGGTCACAGTGGCAAAGAGAAGAAGCCCTGTCTTTGCAGGGAGTAGAACCCTGGTTATTCAGCCCGTAGTCCATTCGCGATATTGACTTTGCTAACCGGCTTCTCGTTATCGAATAAAGAAGCGAAATTTTTCTGTAGGTATCCTTGAGCTTTCTATCGTGGTTTTATGAAACTACGTTAAAGTGTTATCACACCAAACAGTCTGCATATTTACCACACAGGCGTGTGACATTTGCATTGTCCATAAAAGCAAAGAAGACGCATAGCAGTAGGTTTGTCCTCTAGGGCAATGGTATTCAACCTGGGGTACGAGTACCCCCGGGGGTACGCGAAGACATCTTAGGGGGTACGTGAAATTTAAAAAATATATATTATTTTATGACAAACACTGAATAATCAGTATTGTAATTTATTTAATTTATTTCAGATGTAGATTATATACTATGTATAACTTGAATTATACACCAACAACTTTGGGGGTACAAAGTTGAAGAGAAATTATATCTGGGGGTACGCGAACAAGAAAGGTTGAATATCACTGGTATAGGGTGTCCTCCATTCTGTAAGCAGATAGGAAATCGCCGACAAATATGTCTCAATTTCGGTTCTTGAGCCCCTCTAAAACAGAATATTTGGAAGTGAAACTTTCTTGCTTCTGTCGGGAATGGAATTCTGTTTGTCCAAATCGTATCCAGTCCTCTACAGCGATACCTCTGCCTCCTTGAAGTCAAGATGTTTATTAACGGGATTCTTTCCCCAGCTGAACTGAACGAGTCGAACGCACATACTCGCTCTATTACTGGTTCCAAATTCGTGTACGTTGTTTCTTATGTTTAACGACTATCAGCTACAGAGGTCATGTGCCAAACAGATATGCGAGAATAATTATAATTTACACTGGAATTCTAATCCAAATGTCTTGGGTTCGATCCCCACAAGGGTGGAAGGGAGATGTCGTGGACAACTATTGTCCCAACATTCGCTAAGACAGGCCGGGAGAGAGAAAAAAACCTTCAGTCACGATATCTGTGTCCCAGAAGTTAGCGCCCGAACTTCCAAGGCCTGCTTGATAACGTCATAGTTCCAGACATGATGTATCAGTCAGTGCATATCCAAAATTATCTCTACTGATGCGCCCTTCGCTTGGCCTTGGATAACAAATAGCGAAAGTTTACTTGTCCAGCATTGACGAACAGCCACTAAGCAACCAAACAAATTCAACAGTCCCTACATACAGGAACGTAAGTGAAGAGAACACCATAAAAATTGTGTCTGACATTAATTATCATTAAATTATTTATCTGGGTCATCACGTTATATTCTCTTTTGGATAAATTCGGTTTCAACAAAGTTGTATCAGTTAAACATATCTCCTGTCACACAATTCTTAATAACGTAGCTTAAAAACCGATTGATTGAGCGAAATCTCAGGTTACTTAACGACTCTTTTTGACGCCATAACTTACAGAGTTTGGAATGGTATTGAAATTTTTTAAGAATGGTGAGCGGGTAAGGATTTAGAAGGAAGCGATCGTGATCTGTTTCAGAGCAATACACCGAAATTCTAATAGAGATAGTAAGAAAAACTATGACAGAATCTCTGTCAAGACAGTCAGCATTACGAAATTCAAGGAGACTACTTCCAGACATCACGTTGTTTGGTGCCAAATAGAAAAACGAGCTGTTGGCTTTCTTCTTTTTTTCTTTCATGGCCGTCTATAAACAGCGTGTTGAGGAAATACAGTTTGCTTAACATTCCTAAAGTTGCCTATTTACGGTCGATAATGTAGAAAAGCTGAAAAATAAATTAGAGATATTTGGGGCCATAAAAGAAGAAGAATCATTGGGGAAAGTGTTATTCAAAGTGACTTTGTCCATGAAAACCGAAGTAAAGTAACGGGTCATGGCTCAAGATCAGTGAAATAAAGCGTATGTACTCAGTTCAGAAATAAAAACTCCCGAGACACTTTTATACCACAACACACGGAAGTTGTTTCTGGAGAAGTTTTGTTTTCCTTTGCGAGGCACATTATGGCACTGCCCTTTGCGTTTTCGATACGTCAGACCTTCAAGCTCGGTCGTCAATAAGGCTAGCTCTGAGCATAATAGCAATCAGAGACCTTAGGTGTACAGCGGTTAGCATTTTAGCCTTGAGGTCGGTTCCCTTAGTTCCTCCATGAAAACGTTGGGACAAAGCTTGTAACTTTCTGAGTGAGAGAGAGAGAGAGAGAGGAAATTGGTGGGGGGAGAAGTGAGAGACACTTCGATATCTGGGGGGGAGAAAGAGCATCTTATAGCTAGAAGGTCCCCAGGCAATGCCCGCTCGTCCTTCTGTTAAGGATAAAGTAAGAGTGAAGACGTTAGTGTGATAGTTGGCATAAAAGACGGAATTTTGAAATTTTGTATCAGAAAGCTGAGGCTATTAATTTGGAACTTTAGTACATAATTTAGAAGTTCCTACTGAGAGGGGTTGGGGGTAAATTTTGAAGGCGTTAAGGGGTGGTAAATTTTGATTAATTTAAATCGGGAGGGCTACACGAGAAGCATGCAGTAGCAACTTGGAACTTGGGAACCATCTCAGCATTTGCTTGAAGACAGAGGAAAACCAAGGAAAACCTGTGCCGAGATGGCAGTAACTTTCTGAAACACAATGTTGACCTAAAAAACATTCAGTCCGAACCGCAAAGAAAACAACTCGTGCCCATTAAAACATCGATCGTCTAATGCTGCTTAGAGACATGATCGCTGTTTATTCTGACAATCATACGAAACACTTGCACACACTCTGTGGTTACTACTCCGCTCTTAAATGGTCAAATTGGGCACAACGACTTCCTTGGATATCCTAACTCGCCATTTTTGTTTTAATTCTAGACACTTCTCCAGCTGCATGGGTCAGAGAGCCTAAAGACAGGGCAGCGGTCGTGACTTATGTTAAGGTATTACAGCATTTACCCAGAGGAACTAAGGAAAACCTGGAAATGTAGGCATGGTAACATTTCTGGCATTTTATCAAGAATAGCATCAGGGACATCAGAATTTTGGGGTTAGTTATCTGTGCGTTTCTGGTGCCTGTATGGCTGGGTGACGAAGTCATCGTGGAGGCTTCCCCACGTGGGAATTCCTCAAGCGCAAATTCCGTAACTTTGGATTCCTTACCCAGTCACAGCCGCGTACAGAACCGCTTGTAGGTCCTTATGTAAAGGGCTCGTTATTGTTTTCAGACTTGAACAAAACCTTGAATGTGTATATAAATTTTATCAAAACCCTCTAGTATCATACTAAATTAAAATTCGTTCAGCGGTCATCGAGTTCTAACATTCGGACAGATTGACATGGAGAAACTGATGATCGCATTTTTGCAACTTTTTAATTTGCGAAAAGCGTGTAAAAACCTGTCTCACATGCTGATAACGTAAACCGGGAAACCCAGACAAACAGAAGTGTTTAACCACTCTACATCGACGCCTGACTGATTCCATGTAACGTATGCAACATGCATAAACTTAATCAAAGAAGATTTCAGAGTTTATTCTGTTTCGATCTCGGAAATAGTTTAGCAGAAACTCCTGCTTGTTCTGAAGTGTTCAAATTAATGCATAGAGAAGCAAGTTCCTTTCAAATTCGGATACTCACCGAGTTCAGGTGGAATTCTCATTTTGTCAAGGACGTGCGTTTCTTTGTCGTTGTACACAAGGACAGCTGATGCGTTGTTACGTAGAGCGTTCATCACTTTCACAGCAAACTCACACTGCCCCCTCTTGATGAGGGCAATCCATGGCTCAGATACCGGTAGTCTACCGTCTGGAGTACTATAGGTCATAAGGGGCAGAGTGCATGCCGTTGGTT